TACTTAATATATCGTTTGTCGCCTCTCCCGAATACACTGGGCGAGTTTTTAATCTTTTTTCGGGGTTGAGTTTATTCCAGTCACCTACTGGGATGCTCATTATTCGGAGGAGGGAGTCTTGTGTTGAATAAGTTTATTGAAGAGGATAGAATAAAGCATCGTAACTTAAGGATTCGACCAGTCGGTGGAGTCCGTCGACATTGAGTGGTTTCTCAATCTTATGTTCGGCTCGAACTTCAGCCTTCTCCCGAACAGTTCGGGAGGAGGCTAAAATGCTAATCGATTTTACTCTTGGAAAGAACTCGAGCAATAATAATAACTTCGATGACCTCAACAAACGACATTCCGTAGGGGTCTATGCGATGGAATGATCTTTTATTCGGTTATTTGAAACCTTTCGCGCAAGCAAGATGAGTTGATGCACGCCGACGCAGTAGTACTACTGTACGTTAGTACGGGTTACTCCATTCATACCATTCCTATATTGCAGTAATACGGAATAATATAGCATAGCATTCCTAAAGTGCAAATTGAAGAAAGTCCGTTCCTGGATTGATTGATACACCATTAGATAGGCGAGTTCATTGATGCCTTGAGCTGCCGGAAAATCGTTCGGATTGCAGAGAGAAATTTATGTGAGAATTAACGTGCGGCCGGGACAAAAAAATCAAAAACCATATTTTCTAGTAGAAAGTTGTTCCAAGAAATTTATACCATTCGAAAGCTTTACAAATTCCTTATCTGATGAGCTCCTTCCTCTCCCTATGATCATACATTGAATGGTTTAGATCAGCTCTGGACAACTCTTTCGACTGTATATTTGTGTGATACCAGAACAGTTTGCCGTCACTGAGACACTCTTTCGAGTGAATATTTCGTGTAGAAACTTCTACGTCATTAGCCCAGTCACTCACTACCACTAACAACAAACAACTGTATTTGGTGAAACCAAGCAAAGTAAAAGGAGACACTATCTACACTATCAACCCAGCGGCAACAGTCTCGCCTCTGACACGCAAGACGATTCTTGACAAACTCGTCGCTTTGGCGCGTGAACCTTTGTGACCTGAGCTGAGCTCACTGATGAAGATATTGTGCACACCGTACTGTCTTACCTATAGGATCCGTGCAAATCGGATGCTGTACGGTAAGTTCGACGGTGCAACAATCGCCTTTCGTCAAACACCTGCGAATACGCATCATAGTAACTTCGAACCAGAAAATTGTGGAGTGATGGAAACTCCACTGCAGCGTTTATTTTTTGAAGTATTCGGCGATAGAAACACAATCAACACTATGCATGCGGAGAGAGCGCGTTCAAAACATAGAGCATTGAAGCTATGGAAATGATTTCCAACAAAAAATTCAATTGGAGTCAATCAGCGAAAATTTGGTCACTATTAGAAATATTTCTCATTGGAGAATCGACTCCGAGACAGAGAAGAAATATTATACTTTGAAACTTTCCTACCCCTTCTCACACGCAAGTCTAACAAGAATCACACACATCGAATTTGTCGAACAGGCCGAAAATACCATCTATTGGAGCTGTGTAAATTGATAATATAAGGAGGCTATTTCTTCTCAAACAAATGCAAAATCACATCAAAGATTCGACTTCTCAAATTGAAACTTTACTAGGGTATAGATAAACTGACGAGCTATAACATGCTTAGAAAATATATCAGCTCACTTGATAGGCTTGGGACGAATCCCAGGCTTTGGGGCTTTCTTACCTTCTAACGCCACAAATCGTGTAACCGTTGCAGACTCCACACATGCGTGTGCGTGCAACAAAACCTAAACGCAGTGAATACACTGTTGGTCCTTCACAATGGGAACTGACGTATCAAAAACAACTATCTTAGCGCGAACGATGGTAGAAACTCTACAATTTGCAGTGTTGGTAGCACACAGAACCGAACCTCTGATGACCATGTACGGGTCAACGCCTGTACAAAAATGAGAATAAATTTTATTCTATGTAGTTGACCATGTGCATATTTTCCCACACACTGGACAACAGCGCCTCAACGATGGGAGGGATATTCATCTACAGCAAAAGCCTTACCAGTGTTGGAGTAGGAATATATGTTAGCTTTCCTCAGCTGAGCTCAGGAGTTTCCTATACAGTGTTGGAGTAGCAATATATGTTCGCTTTCCTCACCTGAGCTCAGGAGTTTCCTATACAGTGTTGGAGTAGGAATATATGTTAGCTTTCCTCAGCTGAGCTCAGGAGTTTCCTATACAGTGTTGGAGTAGGAATATATGTTAGCTTTCCTCAGCTGAGCTCAGGAGTTTCCTATACAGTGTTGGAGTAGGAATATATGTTAGCTTTCCTCAGCTGAGCTCAGGAGTTTCCTATACAGTGTTGGAGTAGCAATATATGTTCGCTTTCCTCAGCTGAGCTCAGGAGTTTCCTATACAGTGTTGGAGTAGGAATATATGTTAGCTTTCCTCAGCTGAGCTCAGGAGTTTCCTATACAGTGTTGGAGTAGGAATATATGTTAGCTTTCCTCAGCTGAGCTCAGGAGTTTCCTATACAGTGTTGGAGTAGGAATATATGTTAGCTTTCCTCAGCTGAGCTCAGGAGTTTCCTATACAGTGTTGGAGTAGGAATATATGTTAGCTTTCCTCAGCTGAGCTCAGGGGTTTCCTATACAGTGTTGGAGTAGGAATATATGTTAGCTTTCCTCAGCTGAGCTCAGGAGTTTCCTATACAGTGTTGGAGTAGGAATATCTGTTCGCTTTCCTCAGCTGAGCTCAGGAGTTTCCTATACAGTGTTGGAGTAGGAATATCTGTTCGCTTTCCTCAGCTGAGCTCAGGAGTTTCCTATACAGTGTTGGAGTAGGAATATATGCTCGCCGCTTTCCTCAGCTGAGCTCAGAAGTTTCTAAAGCTAATTATAGAATTCGGGTAGAAATGTACAGAAATCAATGAGAATTCCCCAAAATTTCCTCCCAAAATTTTCATATTATCACCAACACATGTAGTTGACCATGTGTATATTTCCCCCCACACAATAGTACCAGTTTCCATCCCAGTAGTCGTCTGCGTAATAATCATCATAGTAGCCATGTGGTTGGGGAAGCATTTTCTTCTTTAGAAGTGTGACCAATCAAAGACCAGCGATAATGTCCCGCTTGCATAACGAACAAGTTATGCAAATACGAATACACTTGTCACGTCGAGACCCTAATCGCACTCTTGTTGAACCTAATCTCAACTACTTCGCATATTCATTTCAATGATCATCTTCCCAAAACACTGAATGTAAATTCAACACCATACTGTTATGAAACGTTCGTAATATTGCGTGTGTTGCATAACTAGTGCTTACAAAACCAGTATAGAATCACTACTACGTAGCAACAACGACAATACAGAACTATCAATCTGAACTTAGTCCCGTATAGACTTTCAAGTTCGGACTTCATTCGTCTGTATATTGGAGTTTCACGACCCGTTTTACGCGAAGTGGCGTAATACTCCGTGATATTCGCAGTGTGTTTTCACTAGTGTTTTCCATATCACTAGGGTGGTGAAACTCCATTAAATGAATACAATCGTCCATTTCGCTTAATGTCAAGCTCCTGTCGAGCAAGTACCAGTGAGACAGAGCAAGCATGCAGTGTTGTTTCCGAACACCATGAGAGACGACAAAGCTACTGCTAAGTACGAACTAGATGTAGACAGAAGTCGAGACACCGCACGTGCTCGCTTTGATGCTATCAATAAGATGCCTATAACCGCACCAGGAGTATTACTAGCCAAGACCATGACCAGGACGGACGCAGCGCAAGCCACGTTAAAATTCGAGATCATGTAATGTGGTGCTGCAACAATAACAGCAACAATGAGTATCTTGAGAACGTCGACTCCACCCTTGTGAGCTCCGTCACTGTTTTCATCAATCAGAAGTGATGCGTTCGGAGACAGTCTTGAGTAGAAATAGTCTTCAACCCAATACTGCAGTTTTTCATCACGACCGTCGAAAAAATACGCATCAGCATGATCATAGTCAATAAGTTGCGTTTCGTGGCTTCCATCATTCCTGTGCACTACAAGTAGTTGTCTTCGACAAAGCGGAACGCCTTCTTGCAAGTCCAACGGGTTACAATACCCGCTAGCGTTGCGAATCGGCCGCACTTCGCGCCGGGAATGGTGACACCCTGAGTGGTGATACGCTCGCATGTCACCAAGATAACCATAGGAAAGAACTCCCAATGAAACAGTACTGGTAGTAGTTGTCAACAACAAAGGTAGAGATCTGTCACTTGCCGTCTCCACGAGCCACTCAGGCACATAGTCATGCTGAATCAACGGTAAGTCAATTTCGGTTATCCATTCTGGTAGCAAATGAAATGGCGTGTAAGCCGTGACTAGCACTGAAGCATGGCAGCTCTCACCGATGAAAACAGTAATACGACCACGCCTGGGGTCGACCTCAGACGCTTGAATGAACCGGACTCGGGCGAAATCGGCATCCCCATCGACAGAAGCCGCGACTCGTTTAAGTCAGCGATGATCTCCTCGCTATT